GTGGACAGCTGGCGGGGCCGAGGGGCATGAAATTGTTGTTGCATGGAGAGCGGCGACAAGGTCAAACCGTTTCGTTGCTCAAATATAACTTGGCCGCTTGTATGGGCTCCAATTTTGACCATGCCCAAACGCCCCACACATGTGCGCGCGCGTGTGTGTGTGTGTGTGTGTGTGTGTGCGAGTGTGTGGCAGCGCAGTCCATACACATGCAAACGCTTGGCGGCGACGCGTCGCTTACTATCGAAGTTGTTATTCATATTTGTATTATTTTTTGTGCCGCATACTCGATTCGCAGCTCACGGACGACGGACGTGTTCTCTAAACCGTGAGGAATCGTCCGTGCCGAGACACGTTATACAGCGAAAACCGCAGCGTCAACGTTTTTTATACCTGTTGCATTTTTGTCTGTTGCGCCGGGTTTGTTGTTTTTTCTATTTTTTTTCTTTTTTTTCTCTGTTTTTGTTTTGGTTTCTCCATTGTGAATCACAGACTAGAACTCGCAGAGAGCGAGCGCAAGTGTCGAACAGTGCGAGAGGTGGATAGAGAGAGAGAGAGAGAGTGCGCGCGCGAATCAACGAAAGCGTGTGATAAAGAGCGTACTTATGGCGTAATCCAACACATTGGAATATTGCTGGGGAACATGCACATAACTGAACTATTGAAAACATTAAAAAAAAGCAACGGCTAGTGCATGCCCTGCATTGCGAAAACTAAACAAAGTTTACACGCATGTTCAGTCATTTCGTGACGTTTTTTTAACACAATTAAATCAAATATAATTAACAATAAATCAATAATTAATTTATTTTAATAATTAATTATATCAACATCATTTACCTAAAACACGTTTAATATTTACTTATTCATTTAATTGTAGGTTGAAATTAAATTGCCGTTTAGCTTGCACTTTATGCAAACAAATTCCACACGCTAGGTAAGTTTCTATATTTGAATAAAACACATTCTATAAATTCTAATTGAAAAAAGCTATTTTCACAGGCTAGCTAAATCGCATAATATCAGGCAACTACCGGACGTAATATTTAGACGGAAATACTCAAATTATCAGCAAATACACACAATGGGTTCTACGCTCTGCAAGGAATACAAAACAACTGGCAAGGTAACGCCCAATCCGGACCAGAACTCAGGTAATAGCCGGTAAACTATTTTGGAAAAACAACATCAGTTTTAGCTTTACCTATTCCATATTTAACCACTTTTTTATAGAAAACAAGATTATTTTGCATAGAAAGCTTATAGAAGGTTTGATGTACAGCGATATTTTGAAAAATTGAATGAATTGGATTCCCGATTTTTTTTTTAGTATCTCAATGTATATTTGGAGTTCTTGATAATTCTATGCTTTGAAGTAAGAATTGTTATTCAAACTTATCGATTGTAGTTATCGATAACTTCGTCTTAAGATCATTGTCGAAAGCTTTTCATCATCATATATGTATGTACATATATATCTTAAAGATATATTGATAACAATATGTCTAAACCTATTTGGGTTTTGTTGCATTCAAAAAGTTGCCATGGAAAGCTGCGATAAAGCTAACATAGATAGATATCTCTGACCATGTTTCTATCTCAATTAGGTTCGTTTACCTTTCTAATTGCCTTTGCCAGCACAAGACACGCAATCAATTTCTTTTTTCGTATTCGTTTTTCAATCATAAATCAATAATTATTATTTATTTATGTATCTATTTGCATTCACAAGTCCGTTGTTAATTGCGCGCATTTAACCTCAAGTAAAATGGAGAAGGAGACTGGGAGAGAGTGTGTGTGTGTGAGTGGAAGTGGAAGTGAGAGGGAGAGGGAATAGGAGAGGGAGAGGGAGGGGGAGCGCTGTCCAGTTTGTCGCCTATTTCGGCATTCGCCTTGCGACTTTTCGTACACATTTTGCTCTTTTTCAGTTTACACTCTGAACTTAACTGGAACGGCGGCGTTTTTGTTTATCTCATACTTAAGCTTTTTATTTGGTATTTGAAAGACAACATTTCACAGTTATTCAACTTTCAGCGTACATTCAAATATTTTACATTTCAAACGGATTATTTCTTTGGGTAAACGAGGCTAAGCCAAAAAAAAAATTCATACATACATATGTTTATTGCTTTGGCTAGGTTTTTTCTTACAATTGTTTTCGTGTGCGTGTGTGTGTGTGTGACAAGGCTAACCGGTTTGTTTTTGTGCGTGTGTGTGTGTGTGTGTTTGCGTGCATTTTAAATAGTCGCGATTCGTGGCGAATTCACAAATTTACACTAATTAGACAGCACTCCGGTTTTGTCTTCTTCTTTTACTGTATCTAATTGTGTGTGTTTTTTTGTTTTTTTTTTGGCAGAGGTTTTTCCGACCTTTTGACTCATAAACTTGTATTTTGCCATTAACGCAACAAGCTGAAACTTGTGACGTCACGCTATGCCGGCTGTGACGCATTTTCTTATTAGACCCTGGATTCCATAACGAACGGCTAAAATCCGTATAAGAGTTTTGTGCTGAAACTTGTGACGTCACTCGATGCTGCATGTGAAGTTTATTTTGTTCTCTTAGATCCTTATTATCCCATTGAAAAGGGGTATACAAGTTGTGTGCTGAAACTTGTGACGTCACGCTATGCCGGCTGTGACGCATTTTCTTATTAGACCATTATATTATCTCATAGCAAAAGACTAAATGCGCATAAGAGTTTTGTGCTGAAACTTGTGACGTCATTTTATAACGCATCTTTGACGCATTTTTTGCCCTGATCCCATTGAAAAAGATTATAATAATTTTGTGCATACGTATTTAACTCTGACCTCATAAAGTACATAAATATATACATACATATATTCTTGATCGGAACGAGGAGCTGAGTTGAATAAATCTTGTCCGTCTTTGGGAATACTTCGAAATCGAAGATACAGACGCAGATCTTGTAGATGTAACAAATGTATGTTAGTTCTCGTATAGTCTCACAAGTGAAAAATTATTTTGAATATCTCCCCTTAAGAACGATAAATAAATCAATTATTTCCGAAGTTAGTAACTTGTTCTATGATATTCACACAATTTTCGAGGCGATGTTTAATTACTGAAATTTTCACGGATCGGGCAATAAGCACCGTAGTTATTCAAGAACCAGTTTCCCATAGAGTCTGGCAAAAGGGGCTGCGGATCAGGGTATCTACCTGTTGGGCACTCCCCGTCCGAAGCACTCTTTTTATACCCTGAACCCATTTAAAATAGGTAAACAGGGTATAATGTATTTGTGCAAATGTACATATGTAACAGGCAGAAGGAAGCATCTCCGACCCCAAAAAGTATATATATTCTTGATCAGCATCAATAGCCGAGCTCGTCCGTATGTATGAACCCAAGGATCTCAGAACCTATAAGAGCTAGAGACTTGAAATTTTAGCTATAGGTCCTCCTAGTCTCCGCGCAGATCGAGTTTGTTTCCGATAGTCGATAACTTGCCCCGTTTCCAAGTAATCGATAAAAATGCAATTTCGGCAAATAATTTTAGGTAGAGTCACCAAACTTGACATGTAACTTCTAGAATAGTATATATATATATCAAGTATCTATCATTTTTTAGCTATCGCCTGTTGGAAGAAGAGGGTTCAGGGTATCCCCTAGTCGGGAGCTCCCGACTAGAACCTCTTACTTGTTTTATGTTCGTTTAACGTCTCATTCATAGTCATGTATGTATTTACACTTTGATAGATGTAATCTTTTTTTTGGGACCCTGCTCTACTTTTTTTTTTATATTTCTTTTTATTATAAGCCCAATCTCATGACGCAGCGAATTTGTCGCTTGGTTTCCGTCAAGACGTATCGATTTTCTTGTGACCAAAACATTTACTTCGAAAGTCATCAGAAATGCACAAGGAAACCCAAACACTATCAGAATCAAGTATATACAATATATGTACATACATATACATACATATATCTCTGATCAGGTCTGGACATGACGTTTCTGTTTCTAACAGCATGTCCAACTTGTATCTAACTTGTCGCTCTTTTGTTGCCATTATTTTTTTTTTTTTTTATTATTTTTATCATCTTATCAGTGAATGTTGTTTGAGGCACTTGACAAAGAATTTGCGAATCATGCTGTTAATCATCGGGCAAATTCGAAAATCAATTAAAATCATAAACGTTTGTTTGTTGATTAAATCAAATTTACGTCTGGCTGCCTATCTCGGGAAGTCGAACATTCTTGCAGCTCTTATCCGGTAATAGAAAACTTTGTACTTCTGCTCAAATGCGATTTAAGGCTAGCTCGAAAAGTCTTGCAAAGTATGTGCCAAAGGGTTTGCACGTGACCAGACGATATTCCAGATCTTAAATAGGTTTTCTGACTTTTAGTTCCAGCTTTGAGTCGGGTTGATGAACTGCTTAAGCAGGGCCTAGCTTAAGGTTCGTTAGCATCGGTTCATTTAAACTATCTAAACTGGTTCAACAGCTTAAAAAGTGGCTTGGAACTAGTTCAATGTTTTGCACCTCTGCCCTTTTCATCGGATCTGAAACGGTTTCAAGACTTGAGATTTGCTCGAAGCTCGAAGAAATTCAGTTCAGCTCAGTTGACAAGTTCTTATTATCTGCTTCGCAACGGAAATCAAGACAGCCGTGAGGCATTTTAAGTGCATTTTCCAGCTCGATTAAAAACTGGTTCAAACCCGTTTTTCACTCAGCTTGTTGCATTTTTGAGGAATGCTTTTAGATCAATTCAATTCCAGTTAAAAGTGCCCTCGGCCTATTAAATGTGCTATGATTTTCCAACCGATCAACTACAGCTTATTACTGGTTCCGAACTAGTTCGCAGCTGGTTCAATACTTGCTTCATAGTCGCTAACAACAACTGCGAACCAGCCCTCGTCGGGCTCAACAAAAGCTGAAAGAGCAAAGATCTTTGATTTGAGGCTTTCTAAAAATCCAACTAGTTGCAAATTGTCTAAAAACTGGTTCAAAAATAGTTTCTCAATTCTTTATTTGGAACAAAAAAAACGAATGGTAAAAAAAAAAAAAACTGTATCCGATATCCAATTTGAGTTAAATATCTAGAGCTTGTCGCCCTGCTTGACGGCCAGCAGCTCCAGGCGCTTGATGGCCTCGTCCAGGAATTGCCGCTGCAGCTGGAGCTGGGGCAGCAGCTCCTCGGCGCTCAGCAGCAGCTGGACATTCTTGCCGGCGGCGCCCTGTTCCGGCCAGTGTCCGCCGCGTAGCCGGAAGCCGGATGAAATCTGGCTGGTTGGCGTCGTGGTGGTGCCGCCGGGTCGCAGCATGGCCAGCAGACGCTTAATGAGCGACGGCGAACTCTGATCCGGCTCGGGCATGGCCAGCAAGGGCGTTAAGAAATAGGAGCCGGCGCTGACCGGAGTCTTGGGCGTGCTATTGATCACATCGCGCTGCATTTCCAGCGGCTGTTTTCCGCTCCCGCTGCTGTTCGGCTGCAGCGCATCCAGCTGCTGCTTTAGGTCGTCCAGTTTGTGCTGCAGTAACTCAAAGTCGGCGGCCAGACTGAGCGCCAAATGCTGCGCATCCTGCTGCACCTTGTTGCCCGCCGGCTTCAGAGCCTCCAGCATCTCGATCTGCTGCTCTAACTCCTGCTGGCGCCGCTGCAGCTCATCCAGCAGCAGCGGCGTTTCCGGCGTGAATGCCTCCATATAGATCCGACCCAGTTCCGCCTGCAGCAGCTGCTTGTGCACACGCAGCGCGCTAAGCTTCAGCTCCAGCTGCTGTGAACTGCTCGTGATGCCAGCTCCAGCTGCACCTCCAGCTCCAGCTCCAGCTGATACTTCGGCTGCCACCTGGACGCCCAACAGGGCGAGAACCGAGCAGAGCAGCAGCGCAACTTGTTCTGGACGCAAACACGACATCTTGTCAACTGACAGCTGCAGATGAACTGATGAACTGATGAACTGGGCCTCGACTGGGGGCAACAGTGCTGCCAATTCAGCTATTTACTAGCTAGTTTACTAGCTGGATTATAGCACCGAAGTTACTCAAGAATGGATTTGTAAAACTACTTGTGGGACTGAGGCAAGAAGCAAGCATGAACCATTGCAGTCGTTCCGCAAGTGGAACTAGTTGAACCAGCTTTCGGCGTTTTTTAACACTGGATTTAGCTTGTTTTGTCGCTCAAGTCGACAGCTGGCAACATTGTCGAGCTGCTTTCATACAGATCGGACTCTAAACACCGAAGTTACCCAAGAATGGATTTGTCCAACCATTGTGAACCATTGCTGTAGTTCCACAAATTGAACTAGTTGAACCAGTCTACGCAGCCAGCTAGTTCAGGTCTTTGTTTTTTTTTTAACACTGGATTTAGCTAGTTTTTCGTTCGCGTTGACAGCTGGCAACACTGTCGAGCTGCTTTCTAGGCCAGCGCAGCAGGCGGGGCACACACACACTCGCATACACTCGCACAAACTCGCACACACACACACACACACACACACACTTTCTACTCTGGACTTGAATTTTAAGATCGTCGTTTAACGGGAAAACTCAATTCAAATTTTATGTGCTTGACCAGCGACAAACAACATCAACTTGTTAACCAATACTCTCTCTCTCACACACTCTCTCTCCCTTGCTCTCTCTCTCTCTCACTCTCTCTGTCTCTGTCTGTCAATTGGCTGTCCCGTTGATCTGTTGCAGGTGCCGTCGGTTCGTATCAATCGAAGTGCGATATCAAAAGTATGTCGACGGACGTCACAGACACAGATGTGGAGTACACGGAGCCCGTGGCCGTTTGCAAGGCGACCGAGATCCAGGAGAACGAAATGAAGCAGCTGGAGTTCAATGAGGACACCAACGTGCTGCTGGTGAAGCAGAACGGACGTCTCCATGCCTTGGGCAACAAGTGCACCCATTACGGTGCACCGATGCACACGGGCGGATTGGGCGTCGGCCGCATACGTTGTCCGTGGCACGGTGCCTGCTTCAGCCTGGAGACGGGCGATATTGAGGACTTTCCGGGCCTGGACTCGCTGCCCTGCTACAAGGTGGACGTCAGCGCCGAGGGCGACGTTATGGTCCGCATGAAGCGCACCGACCTCGACAAATCGAAACGTCTCAAGGACATGGTCAAGCGCCAGCCGCAGGACGAGCGCTGCTATATTGTTGTCGGCGGCGGGCCGTCGGGTGCCGTTTGTGCGGAGACACTGCGCCAGGAGGGCTACACCGGCCGCCTGATCCTGGTATGCCGTGAGCCCTATTTGCCGTACGACCGGGTCAAGGTCTCCAAGGCGCTGAGCATCGGCATCGAGAGCCTGCAGTTCCGTGACGAGCAATTCTACAAGGATCACGACATCGAAGTCTGGCTGGGCGTCAGCGCCGACAAGCTGGCGACCGCCCAAAAGGAGCTACACTGCTCCAACGGCTACGTGGTAAAGTACGACAAGATCTATATAGCCACCGGCTGCTCGGCCTACAAGCCGCCCATACCGGGCGCCGACTTGGAGAATGTGAAAACCATACGCGAATACGATGATGCTCGGGCCATACTCGATCAGATCCAGCCCCAGTCGAATGTCGTCTGTCTGGGCTCCAGCTTTATAGCCTTGGAGGCGGCAGCGTTTCTCGTCACAAAGGTGGCCAGCGTTACGGTTGTGGGTCGCGAGAATGTGCCGCTGAAGGCCGCCTTTGGCGAGGAGATCGGCGCACGCGTCCTCAAGCTGTACCAGGACAACAGCGTCAACATGATCATGCAGAGCGGCATTACGGAGATTATTGCCAACGATGATGGCAAGCTGGCCCAAGTGGAGCTGGTCGACGGGACGACAATACCCTGTGATCTGCTCATCATGGGCACCGGCTCCAAGATGAATACCGATTTCCTGGCCAATTCGGGTGTGCGACTTAACAAAAACGGTTCGGTCGATGTTACCGATTTCCTGGAGACAAATGTGCCCGATGTGTATGTGGGCGGCGATATAGCCAATGCCCATATCTACGGACTGGCCCAGTCGCGTGTCAATATCGGACACTATCAGCTGGCGCAGTACCATGGTCGGATTGCGGCGATCAATATGTGCGGCAGCATCAAGAAGTCGGAGGCGGTGCCGTTCTTCTTTACCCAAATCTTTGGCAAGGGCTTCCGCTATGCGGGCCATGGCAGCTACAAGGAGATCATTATCGATGGCAGTCTCGAGGAGCTGCAATTTGTTGCCTACTTTGTTAATCATGCCGATACCGTTACGGCCGTCGCATCCTGCGGCCGGGATCCGATCGTTGCACAGTTCGCGGAACTGATCTCGCAGGGCAAATGCCTGGGACGCAATCAGATTGAGGACGAGGCCAATCGCCAGGCGTGGATCGCCAAGCTCAAGGAGCCGCTGCCCAAAATACGCTAATCGGATCAATTCGATCGAAAATCGGCTCACATGATCCGATCGCCCGATTCCATGCCAGTTATTATTTAGCAACACGAGATTCATTCTTATATATATACATAGTATTATGCGTGAACCGCTCAAAAACATTGTTAAATTTGTTAAATCGTGCATCATCTACAGCTATATATACAAATCTATATATATATATATGGGTATATTTGCATTCAATTTGCTCAGTTTCAAAATTATGTCTGTTCCCGTTGTCTTGTAGCTAGGCAAAAACAGTTTTGTACAATAAATAAATATACGTTATCTACGATTCACGACTCTCATTTTCGTTTAAACAAATAAATGCCTTTGAGGCACATTAGGGATTAAGTATCCTTCGAGATGTGTTCGCAGATATATAAGACTTCGATCTTCGATCGCCGCCCAGATATCTAGAAAGAGTTCGATCTGGAACAAGTTTTATGATTTGGTTGGCTGGCCTAGACAGATATTTTAGATAAATGAAATATTCGGAGACACTTTACAGCGCTCTCAAAATTCCAAATTTCGAGCACATAATCATTACCATCGGGCAGATGTACGCTGCACAGATCTAGAGGAGCATCGGTATGGAGAACAGTGGGCTGTCTGTGCCAATTGGGCGCAAGTCCATGTCGTGTGCCATGGAAAGCATGATGCTTGGCTGGCTACACGCCTGGCGTTCCCTCAACAGGGACTGTCTGCAGATAACGACAACCGCGTGGAGATTCAAGAAGTTGGTATGTAGACCGGACTGAGATCCGAACGGATTTGAGCTAACCCAGTGTCAGATCTTTTTAGCTGCCAAGCAAATCTATTGCTATGAGATGATATTGCAGGAGCGAAAGATTGTGAACGACAGCTTCATCAAGTGCATCACGACTGCCGAGGAGATCTCCAGCAAGCGGACCGCATGGCAATCCAGGCTGGACAACGAGAACCAGAGAATGCTCCGGCAATTGATTTGCCTGAAGGGGGAGCTATCCGAAAGGCAGAAGGCCCTGGTCAAGACCAAGCTGGAATTGCACTGTCTCCGTCAAAGGCTCCGCCAACAGGCGTCCAAGACAAGTCGCCTGGCGTCCAGGCTGGAGGAAAATAAATTGTTGACCGAAAAGCTGTTGAAACGCAACCTCAAGTTGAACGAGCGGGTAAACATTGAGCTCTATTTTTTCCAAACTGATTGACTGACTGACTGACTGACTGATGATCAATGCACAGTCCGTGTTTGCTGTAATTCACGTGTTTCAGTGATTTTGTAGAATCCACATCAAATTTCGGCCGATTTTCAAATGAATTTTCATTTTAATGGAAAGTTTGGTCCGATCGGCTTCAAACTTATTTATATTATCATTTCCCCAAAAAGATGATTGGCCCGGGTAGAGCCGGGCAATACTTCAATATACCTTATAATTAAGCTAATTACGTATTCGACCTGTGCCGAATAGACCACCGAATTGTTGGAAGTGTACAGAACGCGTGCGCTTATGTTTGTCTATAAGCTAATTGGCATGGCGCAGGAGCTGCTCGTTACCAAAGCCAAGTCAAAGGCATTTGCAGATGCCAGCGCGCATCTGAAGAGGTAAATCCTGATTCTAGCCCCAACAAAGGCAAACAATATAATTTAACAGCCATTGTTATGCTAAACAGTAAAAACGAAAGGCTGCAAGTGCGCCAAAGAATGCTTATCAATAAATTGACTACGCCTGTCTCTCAAGACAAAGCCCAAACGGATGCACAGAACGGCAATCATGGACTGCTCGACATGGCCCTCCATTATATGCGCTGCCTGTGGGAGTGCGTCTCGAGCCTGGGTCAGTGCCCAAAGCTGGAGGGACCGAATCGCCGTTGTCAGTGGGCTCTTCTCTTAATATAAACAACGAGTATTGTACAATTCAACTTAATTGTCGAAATTAATACTTTAAGAGCAATTTTAACAGGCTGCGATTACTTTATTAATTGAAATTGGAAGGGCTGCACAGCTAGAAAATAGCCAGGGCTGCACAGCGGTTAGTTGCCGGCTTTGCAACAGGGTTGCAGCCATCGATATGTGTATCGATATAGCGAGTGCGATGTTTCGATTTGCATTTATTATTGTTATTGTTTTTTTTTGTCTCTTGGTGCTGGCGATGAATCGTCGATAGTTTTGCGGAAAATTTTTTTTACACACCAGCAGCAGCCAGCACACATACACAGAGACACACACACACAAAAACGCCCAATAAATTACAGTTGCAGGCAGTGCACACATAAAAAGTTTTATAACAAAAAGAAAAGCAAACGAAAAGAAAATAGTTATAAACGGGGTCAGAAGACAACGGCAAACGTTAAAAGTACAAGCAAACGAAAACATTCCAAAAAATACCAGAGTTACAGCCAGAGCCGCCTGCCTGCGCCAAGTGTAACCAAAGTGTAAAAACACCCGAAACCGAAAACATTTTTATCAATTATGAATTTCTTGGGCTTTGGCCAATCAGCCGAAATTGAAATTGTATTCGATGGTGCCGAGAATAAAAAAACCGCCGAGGTCAAGGGCGAGGATGGCAAAGTGGAAAAGATGCTGCTCTTCTACGATGGCGAAACAGTATCCGGCAAGGTAAACCCTAAAGCTCCTCCAGCTCTAGCTCTAGCTGAACGCTTTGTGCGTTGTGTGGAGAATGGCCGCGACGGCGGGACTTCCGCTCGGCTGCCGCCCACCAAGCAGCAGTTATCAGCAGCAGCGGCAGCAGCGTCCCGTATAAACAAGCGCATAAATATTGCACAAAGTTGTTGATTATTTGAGTTTTGTAGTGACAAATATGTTTTATCTTGTAGGTGAATGTGACGCTTAAGAAGCCCGGCAGCAAGCTGGAGCACCAGGGCATTAAGATTGAGTTCATTGGACAAATTGAGTTGTTCTACGATCGCGGCAACCATCATGAATTTAAGTGCCTGGCCAAGGCGTTGGCCCGTCCCGGCGATCTAATACAGAACAACAGCTATCCCTTCGATTTCCCGAACGTGGAGAAACAGTTTGAGGTATACGCCGGGTCCAATGTCCGTTTGCGTTACTTTTTGCGCGCGACAATTGTGCGACGGATAAGCGACATTACCCGCGAGGTGGACATTGCTGTGCATACGCTCTGCAGCTATCCGGAAATGAATAATCCGATCAAAATGGAGGTGGGCATCGAGGATTGCCTGCACATTGAGTTCGAGTACAACAAGAGCAAATATCATCTCAAGGATACGATCATTGGCAAAATATATTTTCTGCTCGTACGCATTAAGATTAAGCACATGGAGATTGCAATCATCAAGCGCGAATCCACCGGCACCGGACCGAACATTTTCAATGAGAACGAAACGATTGCCAAATATGAAATAATGGACGGTGCGCCCGTCAAGGGCGAGAGCATACCCATACGCGTATTCCTTGCCGGCTACAATCTGACGCCGACGATGCGGGACATTAACAAGAAGTTCTCGGTCAAGTATTTTCTCAATCTGGTGCTGATGGACACCGAGGATCGGCGCTACTTTAAACAGCAGGAGATAACGCTGTGGCGCAAAGCGGATATACCGCGCTACCATGTTGCCCAGCAGCATCAGCAGCAGTCGCATCATCAGCACCAGCACGTGCCGCTGCACGCACCGCCCCATTTGGTGAGCGGCCCGGCAGCGCCGACAGTTGCCCATTCTCTCATTAGCAGCAGCACGGACAGCGAAGGCGCCGCCATTGGCGGCGGCGGCGGCGGCGCCCAAGCCGAATCCAAAATGGGCCTGTTCACGCGCGAGAGCCCCAATCAGGAGTTTAGCCAACAGCAGCTGGACTCGCCACTGCCCAATTCACCGATGACGCCTGGCAACGAGAGCAATTCAATTGTGTCAGCTGCTGCTGCTGCTGCTGCCGCCGCCGCTGCCGCCGCCGCCGCCGCTGCCGGCAGTGAACGTGAGCGTGGCATGGGCGATGGGGCTGCCGCGGCAACGACAAGTGCCTCGCCAGTGGCCATGCTTTTGAACACGCCGCCACCGCTGCAGCTGCTGCCGCCCAGCGAAGAGCAGCCAGCATTGTTGCAATCACCAGCGCATGCTGTCGGCGATGGCAATATCGAATTTGATTTGAACGATGATGAGGATGAGGATGACCGGCCACTGCTTGTGCCGGACGATGAGCTGACGGACGTGGCGCTGCCGATGCCACCAGCACCCGCACCCGCACCAGCGCCCGCGCCCGTCTCCACAGCCGCCAAAAAGGTCAACGCTGCGCCACTGAGCGCGGATTGAGTGGCAGCCACAATTCTGTTAACGATTGCGAATATGTTTATGATTTCCACAACAACTCAATGGCTGGCGGTAGCTGGATCAACTATTAACGTATATCTAAACGTATACACGAAAAATATGCATATATATATATACACACATACACATACACACACGCATATATCTATATATATATCTATTTTTTTAAAAGCTAACTTAAAATTGTTAAAGAAAAATGTTTTATTGAAGTTATGCGCGCAACTTGATCCACTTGCACACACACACACACACACACACACACACACATATGCACACGCACACCTCTTCGGCAAAAAGAATATTCGATATGTACGCAGACGCTATTAATACCCTCTCTCTCATGCTCTTAGCTCTAATATCTTGTATTCGAAAACAAAAATTTGCATAATGCAAGCAACAAAACGAATGTTATCATTTTTTTTGTAAGCCACACCGCGCCACGCCCACTTTCCACAGGAAACGCCCAACTAACACCAATGTAACAACTCATTCCCATTTGGAAAATTTGATTTTTCAATAAGCAAACCTTTTCAAGAAATAACAACAAACAGAACAGAATAAGAAACAACAAAACAAATGCTTTTTAAAAGTAAATTGAAATTGAAATATTAAAATTAATACAAATACCGATGCGTGAGCATAACTAAGTTAAATATAAAGTTTAGAGAATATATATATATATGTATATACATATATATGAATATAGAAAACGAAGCACGCCTAGAAAACATGTTATATAAATCTTTATATATATGATATATATATGCTTGCATATGTACATAACATATTTCATATTTATATATGCATATATATCCTTATATATATATGTATATATATATATTATAAATTAAAATTGATCAAATTAATAAAAACGAGACAGAAACACGAATCTTGTAAAAAAAACCGAAGCAATCGAAACACACATAGAGCAATAATATTCGAGCAGATCACAATTCGAAATTCTTAATTTAATTAAAGGCTACAAAATGCATGAAAAAGAGCGAGAGGCCTTGTCAAGTTAGCTTTAAGTTAGACATGACTAATCCTTACAGAGATATGGTGCAGATACCACACGAAGCCGCTTTAAGGTAGAGTTGGCAAATGCAAGGTTCTTCGGAGTACCGAATTTTAAACACCCTTACAGGCTTAAAGCATATAGTTTAGGCTCATAGAGATCATGTAGAGTTTGATTAAAGTAATTAAAAAAAAAAAAAAAAAACAAACAACAAAAATAGTTTTTCATACGAAAACTTTACTTTTAGTTCAACCTTTTGATGATGTAGAGATTCTGCGTTATGTGGCTTATTATTGTTGATTTTGTTTAAATATTCAGAAACTAAGAAGTTTATTTATACTCTAATCGTTCGATTGTTCCAATTTTAACTAGATGATGTAGTGGTCCGATGCTAATACGACTTTAACACCATGTTAGGCAAGTTTTCCGGGAATCGTTCCTGCAGCTACATGATTCTAGTGGTCCGATCTGGCCGACTTTGACAATCTCAATCAAATGCCTTCGATTACATAGAGTATAATATTTATTCTATAACTTGCAGTACATGTGTGTTTGTGGGTAACGTGATTAGAACAATAACTTATTCACTTAATCCCACGCCTCCTTCACTTTCAAATGCTGCAGCCGCTCCTCGATGGTCACGTGTGGCTTCATCTTGCTGCGCGTCTGCTCATCCGTCCATTTGGCCACCAGCTTGTCGCGTTTCTGCAGCTCCTTGGCATGTCCCGACGATTGCTCCTAGAAAGGGTCATTGTTTAGCGCTAGTTTTCGATAAAGGCAACTAAATGTGAATCTATACCAGCGTTAGATAGGGATGCCTCAGCAGGAACATGATGTGCTCCTGGCGCTCGTATTCGCGGGTCAGCGTGTCCATGGAACGTTTGCTCACCGGCTTGACGAGACGCCGCTTGCCGCGGAATATGTGGCCGGGCACGGTTTTCTTGAAGAAATTGATTAAAGTCAGCTGCATATTGTGCCGACTGCCTTATATATATTTATTTTCAATGCACGTTCAATGTTTGTTGCACAAGTCGTTGCGACAGCTGAGGGGAGGCTGTTATCGTTATCGCTGCGGTGATTTGTGCGCATATATCGATATATCGAGACGCCTTCAATTGCTGCTCTAGCAAATTAATCGATTGTTTCGCACTCAAATTTAAAACGTGTTTCGATATACATATGTATATTTGAAAAAAAGGTTTACATACTTAAAACGTGATTTGTATTTTGACAACAATTTACAGACTGCAAATATAAAAGAAATGCGCAGCTTAGGCACTATTTTCGGATAGGGGGAAGGGACTAGCATGCATGACATTGCCCTGATGCAATGCACCCTCAACAAAATGTAGAATCTCGAATCCCACCTCGACCATAATCAAAATAATGATCATCCACTCGAGCCGGATGTGATGGGCATCGTTTAAATTGTGGGATACCAGTTCGGCCAGCTCGACGCAATGGTTGATCTTCTCGTTCATCACCTTGGTGCGACGCGATATGCTAAAATATGAGCAAACTTGCAAATAGAGACCCTCCAGCTCTTCGCGATCCCAGTAAAAGTCCGGTGCATCCAGCAGGTCCGAGGACAGGTTAATGGAATGCCGCAGGGCAAACAGTTCGCCTGTTTTGCGCAGCATTGAGGCACGCGAGATGCGCAATCGTCGTCCGCGCTTCAGATCCTCCGTCAAGTACTCCATGGAGTCAATATAGCGATCCAGTGTCGCCTCCCAGATGCCCAGCTTGATCGACTGCGCAATCGCATTGGAGAATGTGTATTTGTACAGAAAATTGTCGCTGTCCGGCGTCAGATAGAATTTGCCGTTCTGGAAAAAGGCGCGGGATGCCACATTCAAATCGCTCGACTCCGCCACCAGATCGCCCTCGACGTCGACAGCCGTCGATGCGATGTACGTGTAGGGCATCACCTCGCTCTCGCCATGGACGAGGGTGCTCACGTACGATTCGCGCTCAAAGTTGCGCAAAAAGTTGAGCACGTTGTTCGTCTCGATATCGTTGCAATTCCAAAAGACGACGGAGCCTTCGCGAAAGAAGAATATCTCGCGCGGCCGGGAGCCGGTCTGATATTTGGCGGTGACAAATAGCACGTTCTGCTCAACGCCCAGATTGTCCGTGGAGAAGAAACGTTTCGTTTCGTATAGATTCTGTTGCTTGAGTGCCGCGTCCAGCTCCTCCAGATTGTACTCATCGGCCGTCGTATAGCCACGCGTATTGAGGAAGCCCAGGGCGGACAGCTCGTCAATAGCCAGACGCTTCTTGCGCAACGCACGCGTTCGGCCGGGCGAGAGGCCCGTCTCCAGCGGCTCGTCCACCTGCGGCAGGGTCTTGACGCCGCCGGCCACACTGCGGGCGGCCTTCTTTGCCGCCGTTCCAGCTGCTTCGGTGGTGTCCTTTGGCGCCGTTATGCTCGCAGCCATGGATCTGCTGAACTTCGGCAGCCAATTCGACTGGCTCTGGCACCAGGCACGCTGCAGCTGTGTGTGCAGTTTGCATGTGTGTGTTCTGGGCAGGGGGCGTAGGCTGCGGATGAGTGCCGTTTCCACGGCAAGGCGTGCCCTGATCATATTGCTGGCAACTGCACTTGTTTTTTTTGTTGTGTTTTTTTTATTTTTTTTATATTTTAATTTTAAATACACTTCCCAATTGCCATAACACTTGGCCCGATATGTGTCCGACTATCGAATCTCGACAGCGGAGCCGGCAGTTCAGCGAGCTGGTTCGCGTAACTTTGAACTTTGGCTTCTGCCAAATGCACTTGTGTGTGTATTTATTCTGGTTATTCTGTTTGAAAATATTGAAAATTTTGCATGCTTCTATAACAAACTGCCTAGTATTATTAATCATTTTAGCCATATTCATATCAGATGTCAAAATCAACGTCAGGTTCGGCAAGCGGTTAATTGCGGTATATAAAAAATATCAAAAATTATCGATATCAAAATTATAAACAGAAAAATAAAAAATTAATCGAAAAACAAAAAAATACCGATTGCACAAAATTGATCTATCGATAATTGCAGCAACAACAAACCAATACGTATGGCTGTATGTTGTCTGTGGCGGCAACGCATCAAATAAGATGGAGAACGCTCTGTTTTCCAACATCAAGAAGTTATACGACCACGGCCTATACGAATGCGTTATTCCATCGGTAAGTTGATGCTTTAGCATCCAGTTACCAGTACAAATTTCACACTGTGCTGACACACTCCGAGCAGGGCAGGCAAATCCTTGATTGACCCACACACACACACACACTCACGCACACTCCCACACTCACGCACTCACACACACACACACACACACTTGGGTATTGCAGGCTAGTCTGTTGTGCACACTGCTGCAAAATGATCGGAATGTGGCCACACTGGAGATGGAGTACCAGGCAATGCTCTATCTAAGCAATGCCAACTACAAGCAGCACAATTATCGCACCGCCTGCAATCAGCTGGAGGCTGTTGTCCTGCAGCGCAAGGCGATGCTGCGCTTCAAGAGCAGCTATCTGACGGCCATCGAGAGCTCCTATCCGCAGTTTCAGGACGCAGAGCTGCGCTACAAGATCGCCGTCTGCTACCGGGAACTGGGCGAATATAATATGGCCATGAGCACACTGCAGGCGGTTAAGACACGAACGCCACGGCTGAACATGTTGCTGGCCCGGCTAATGCATCATCATGGGCGCGGCGTCAGCAAGAAGGAGATCGCGCTGGCGTTCAAGGATGTGCTGCGCGAGTGTCCCATGTCGTTGACATCCATCGAGGCGCTCATCGAGCTGGGCATCGATGGCAGCGAGGTGCATTCCATGGTGGTAAATGGTGCGTATTTCTCGAAAGATCTAGATCTCTTGCAACTGAACCAGTTGCGAGTGGTTGGGCGAATAGTGAACGGATATTTCCTCATTTTAGAGGCCATGACCTTGAGGAGAGTGAAAACAGCGCTTAAATCAATCTTTAGGTTAGGTTTGAAAACCCGGTTCGTGAATCGATCTTTCAGTTCGAATACTGGTTCCTCCATAAAAGATCTGTTGAACCTGAACCAGTTCCGGCAGTGGGTGGGTGGGTGGGGGGGGGGGGGTTTGTTAAACAATAGTTTAGTTGTAAAGCGATTTACAGGCCCCAACTATTTTGGTTCAAGGTTTGGTTCAAATTAAATTACTTGGTATTTTGGGGTTCACTGTGCTAGGAAGACGAGAAATTTGCACGTGTCCTTCAATTAATCCAGCATCAACTCATTTCTGGGTTTGTTGACCTGTAAAAACCTAGTTTCACGAACCGCAGCTTAAGGCAGACAGAGTTGGTACAAGTTCGTGAACCGAACTAACGATCTATTTTGTGCGCTCACGAACCGCAGCTTAAGGCAGACAGAGTTGGTACAAGTTCGTGAACCGAACTAACGATCTATTTTCGATACTTCGCTACTTCTTTTGGGTAGACGGAAGAGGTTCAAGGCAAGGTGCTGGCTCGAACCGGCGACAGTGAAACAAGTGGTTCGAATCGGTTGCTAGTTGAAGTGATTTTAGTGCTTAGTCGCTGAACTGGTTGAAATCTACTCGTTCCACAGCCGCCGCGTTGCCGAAGAACATCGAATGGCTGAGCAGCTGGATCAAGGGGCATGCACAGATGTACGGCTGCAAGCATCGGGAGGCGGCGCAGACATTTCAACAGCTGAACGATACGAGCCCGTTCCGGCAGAACGAGCATCTGCTGACGAAGATTGGCCAGTGCATGTACTACTATGGCAATTTCATCCGGTCGGAACAGTATTTGGCCATGGCCATAATGCACAATCCGCACAACCTGAACGCCCTCTGTCCGCTGGCCGTTGTCTACGAGTTCAACAAGAAGAAGCTCGAGCAGGGCAAGCTAATTGCCCCGCTGGAGATACGGACAACCGGGGAGTTTAGCTCGTCGCACTGGTTCCTGCACGCCCAGCTCTCCTATATGAATTCCAAATACGATCGATCGCTAATCTTCACGGAGCGTGCTCTGGCCATGGATGCGCGCAACATTGAGGCGCTGCTGCTGCGCGGCCGTCTATTTGGCGGCCTGGGTCGCCACAAGGATGCAATCGATGTATTCCGCAGCGCACGCTGCCTGGCCCCATACAGATTCGAGGTGTACAAGGGCCTGGTCGCCTGCTTTATACGCTTGAAGTGGCTAAAGGAGGCGCAGACCATGTGCGCCTTGGCCGTCCGACATTTCCGGACATCGCCGCGCAGCTATACCATGTTCGGCGGCACATTGTTCCATTTGGCCAATCCGGGCGCCAAGAAGAGCGCACGCAAATTTGTGGAGAAGGCGCTCCAGATCGATGAGCACTATGCGCCCGGCATTGCACTGATGGCCAGCATTTATCAGGATGAGGGCGACACCCAGGAGGCGATTGTCTTGCTTAGGAAACAGGTCGCCAATCATCCGCATCCCAAACTGTTTGCCATGCTCGCCGAGCTGCTCAGCGTCGACAAGGATCTGGATGCGGCGCTTCACTATTACACACTGGCGCTCAGGTGATCTCTCTCTCTCTCTCTCTCTCTCTATCTCTCTTTCTCCCTCTAAACGGATGATTATGGCCAACTTTTGCAGATTGGATCCAACATTTCAACGCGCCTTGGATGGCATCAATTCGCTGACCAAGGCGGCCCGCACAGGCAAGCCGAGCGACAAGGCCAGCGAGTCGGCGAGCAGCTCAAGTGTCGCCGCTGGCGATGGCAGCAATCCGGGCACCATGTCCAGGCCGTGCACCACGCCCAATCATGAATGGCTGCTGGACTGCGATGAGGCCTCCACCGAGGCCCTGGAGCTGTCCTCGCCGGCTGGCCCGCCGGACGATGTTGAATCGGATGCGTTCTCCGAGCCCTTCTGGCAGGATGTCGATGGGGAGCTAACTAACTAACTAATTTGGCAATGTCAACGCCCCTGCCACGCCCCCCCGTTTTTATGTTGAATCTCTTGCGTTGCATTCCCAATTAGCCATATCTCATGTAAATTCCAAACACTTGCAACATTTATTTTAATTTTTTTTTTCTTTTTGTATTTATGCGCCAAACCAAATTCTCATTATCATGAAATGTATTTATTATTTGTTTGTTTGTTTTTTTTATTTTGATTTAATTTATTTTCACTCAGCATAGATCTGAGCGGTACATCCACCTAAATATCTCAAGACATACACGAAAGTCAGCCAGATTTCATAATGTAAGCTAAATAGATTTTATGTGTTTTAACTATAAAGTTCCAAGTGTTAAAATAAAGCAAAACTATTAGAAAACTAATTTTTTGGCTGTCTTTGTGTTATTTTTTTTCTTTGCTTTCAATTTGTTTAAACAACTGTGTGGGTTTTTCTTTGCGTGTATTTGTTTTTGTTGTTCCTACGCACGGGCCTGTAGCTTATAGCTGTGTTTTGTCAGCTCTGTTAATAAGCCCCAGTGGCCTAATGGATAAGGCATCGGCCTCCTAAGCCGGGGATTGTGGGTTCGAGTCCCATCTGGGGTAAAGTGAATTCGATATTTTGTTAACTTTTTAACTTATTTAATATTTATATTATTATTTGGGCCAAAAACTAGATACACTTGCTAAACTAGTTGAACCAACTCTTAAATAATTGCTATTTTGTTTTTGTTTTTATCATGGCCTATTTACAGCCTGCTTACAGTCTGTTAAGTGTGGAGCAGTTCTGTTAGCTCGTCTGCTATACGGTACATCTGGCTATTGCAGGCAGATCAGCTGTTCGCTGCATTGGTGTGACCAGTTTCTTATAGTTTTTTGGTATTTTTATGGTATGTGCCGCCTGGTCGCATATGGCACGCGCTCGCGCGCCAAAACTTCAGTTGTTTATCAATCGCGCGCATTGTTGCATGTGCGTGTCCGTTAAGCGCAAAGTTGCCGACGAGCTCTTCTGTTAGTTTTTTCTTATTTTTTTTTTCGTTGTTGTTGCTATTGTTGATTATATTTTTGTTGTTGTGCTGGTGTGCGATAAAAAATAGTTGAAACATTAAAAACAATAACAGTCGAACTAAAAACCAACAAATTTAACCAACTGTGTCAAATTCCTTGTGCTTTATGCAAATTGAAATCAACCAATTTGCATGCTGCGAATTCTGAAAAACAAAAAAGAAACAATAAAGCCACTCAAGATTTTGGCATACATCCGTTTTGAATGAAGTCCTAATACGAATTACGCGTGTGATTTATTTTGTGTTTTTTTCTTTGTCGGTTTGAATTTAAAACACATATTTGCAAAATTTCAATTTGAATTTGAATTTCGAATCCATTGACAGCGATATACAAAGGTGCGTTTAACTGTTAATTCTATGTGTTTTTTTTTCATTTACCAAGATGGCAGATGGCAGCGGACACTTTCAAAATGGCCAATGCGTTACCGTTATTTGCTTTTCGCCCGCTTTATCTGCCCACAATCCAAAAGAGAGCGTCCAATGTGCCGTTACACATGTTTCACGTTTGATTTGATTGCAGCGAAACTGAAGCTCCGATTCAAGCCGAATTTTTTGCTTGCCCTTTTTGTTGTTGTTGTTGTTGTTGTTGTTGCACTCGATAAGCAACATCTGCGCAAAAGTCGAACTGAAAACAACAGTCAAAAAAAAAAAAAAAAAACGGTACTAAAAAAGATGCTAGCAAACAAAAAACTAAAAGAAAACAGTTCTTTTTGAAAAAAAAATTATTGCTGTTAATTTAAAGCGAGCATATTGGTTCCGAGTTCTCAAAGCTAGACCCTCTCAAAATTTCTCTAGACTACGAACCATGCCCAACTCAATTATAATAATAATAATAATAATAAGAAAAACAACTGTCTACAGTTTTGCTCATCGCTAATAACACTTGTGTGCAGAGTATTGGGCCAGTCGGTTACACCCGTTTGCCATGTTCTTCTGCTTCTAGTTCGTCGGCTCGTCACGAACTGACAGAACATCGCCAACTCCAGCCCCAAAAGAAAAGATACAACGGCCTTTGTTTGCCTATCTGTAGGTCACTCGCTGAACCATATCTGAAGTGCTCAAGCTCCGATTTATCGGTTAGTTGGGCTATCTATTGGGTTATCTACATACATACATATCTAGCTCGGCGACAGAGCTCCGGCTCTTACACGCATTTCTTGATTAGAACACATTTCACTTGACATAACCAAAAAAAAAGAAAAGTGGAGAAAAAGATAATGTTCGCATCAAAAGCTATTAGATCAATTTCAAATCAATTGTAGATTTATTTTAAGCAATTATTTCGGAAGTTTTTTCTTTTTAGTTACTTATTAAGATGCTGAACACGACTTTTGGATAAAAATAAGTTTGCATATACAGAGTTTTCAATTCTCTGAGCTTTTACAACACTATTTTTTTTTTTTAACTCAACGCTTATTTTTTTGACTACAGTGAATACTCTACTCTGGCAAATTTCTTTTAGTGTGTTACCTTGTGTGTTACCTTGGCTGTCCGCTTAAGCGAGTGTGCACTGTAATTTCCTCAACTCTTGCAGCTAGAAATCTTTGTTTCTTTTTTTTTGTTGATCACTTTTGCTTTACCCCGTCCGATAATTCCCAGAATTCCAAAAGCCAGTTGACACAGTTTTGTAAATTTGCTTAAGCGCAAATATTTGGAAATTCAGTTTTTTTGTTAAACTCAACAAAAATTGGGGGTGGGGGCTGCCAGGAAATGCAGCAAGGCCCATTATTATAGAATTGAACATATTTACATGCATATGCATGTATTATATATATGTAAATAATATATATTTTTGTATAAATGTACATATAGTATATCTCGGACAGCTGTGCCTGATTAAAAAATGCTCTAACGGTACACGCAGCTAATTAAAAAACGGCAATCAGCAAATGACAAAGGCAACAACAACAACAACAACAATAATAACAAAACCAATCAAAACAAAACAGAAAGCAAACGTTGACAGGATGCATTTGAATAAGCGCAAGCGAGATAGCAAATCGAGTGGCGAACAGCAAAAAGAATAATAACAAAAAAATAAACGGTTTAATTTGCCAGGCACCGCGGGTGGGTATGCGTGTGTGTGTGTGTGTGCGTGTGTGTGCGTGATGGTGTGTGTGTCAACAAACATTTGACAGCTGTTTACGCCTGTTGGACGCCGCCGTCGCAATCCGCGAGAGCCAAGGACTGTTGCGAGAGCCCAAAGATTGCGGCAGAGCGAGCGAGCGCGTGAGCGCGTGATTTACCAATGTCTTTGTCAGCTTTTATGGTGGCTGCATCTGTAACTGTGACTGTGGTAATTCTGCTAAAATTTCCTTTTGGAACGGAACGAATGCAACTGATAAGCCAAGGGCCGCGGGCCACATACACGCACACACACACACACACACACACTTACACACTTACACACTTACAGACATCAAAGGCTGATAAATACACAGAAACACAGACACTTGGCTGAATCGCAGCTTGAGCTCGGTTACTGTCTGCTCTCTGGCTGCCATATGTTTTGCTCCGTTTGGAACGCATGCGCCCTGTTCCCATCCCTGCCCCTCCCCACGTTCCATTACCATTCCCCTTTCGGCTATTCACCAAACAACAACACACAGATAGCATTTTATGGATTACATTAATATTTGACAAGAGGCACAAAGTCCAAGGCACAGTGGTTGCTAGTTGTTATGTACATACATATGTATGTATATAGGGCACAATGTTTCCCGATCTGAAATAGTAAGTCGATATAGTAGACGAGCCTGGCCTATATACTCTTCATTTACTTGCATATGCCTGCCAGCATATGCCAGATATCAAAAGTTTATACGAAGAAACATTTTATACACGCACAAGTTTTCAACTACATACATTCAGCACTGGACCCACTGTGCTTGGTCAAACTATTCGGGCATAGTTCTTGTTCTTGCTGGAAATTGGTGGTTTCAAGTGCGGCAGGACTTGCGTAGAAGCTGAAGCTCTCGCGAGCAGCGGTGCCGGCACGAAGCGCCGCCCGAAGTCGGGCACGAGCCAACCCTTGCGGCTGTGCCAAAGTCATCTGGAGTTGGCGTCGCTGTCGCTTTCGCTGTCGCTTTCGCTGTCGCAGTTGCCGTCGCAGTCGCAGTTACTATTCGTCCTAGGCCGCCTATTGACGACGTCGCTGGCAATTGCCGCAGTTTTCGCGATTCGTCTGCGGCCTTGCACGGACGTCGCTTGCGTTAACGTCAGCGTCAGCGTCGCGTCGTGGCCGACGTTGCCGTTTCTTTTGCACTTTCTGCTTGTTGTTATTACGGTTTTTTTTTTTTGTGATTTTTTTTTTTATTGTACGTTGTTTTTTGTTTGTTTATTAGTTAAGCGAAACGAACAAAATTTAGCACATTTACCGTTATAATAACGTGCTTCCTTGTCGATGGACGTCTGTTAGTTTGTTTGTGCTTTTCATCTGTTTGCGCGATTTTTCGGCGTCTGCGTCGCGTGCAGCAAAGTAAGCGCAGCATTTAACGTGATTTTCGTCGATAGTTTTTGCAGCTGTTGTTGTTATTGTTGTTGTTACTGTTGTTGTTGTTGTTGTTGTAGGGTGGCAACCATCGATTTGCGTGTCGTGCAGTCAAACAAATCAAATGGAAAACGCGATTGTGCATAAAACAATTCGATTGTCTATGGTTTTTGGGTGCAAAAAATATTATTATTATATTGCCCCATTATCCATTTGCCTGGCCACCCAATAACTGTCAGACTGTCGCTGTCTCTATCTCTCTCTCTCTCTCTCTCTCTCTCTCAGTGTGTGAGCGTGTGTGTGCTTGCTGCGGAATGCGCCGCATTTAGTTGCATGGGCAATAGGCTGCTAAACCCACTTACTTATGCATCTATTATAGATGTAGTTGCGCACTCTCTCACACACACACACACACACACACACACAAACAGTTTGCTGCAAAAGTCTAGACTTCTGTTGAAAAAACAAAAATTAAATATAATGAATAATACAAATTATAAGAAAGTAAAATAAAATATATATACATTTTCTGGGTATATTTTTTTTTTGTATATATATTTTATTTTGTTATAGTTCTTATTAATATAATACCTAAAGTTATATATTAATAATAATTCATATTTCTTTTCAATCCTTTACATGATAAAAACTTAAGTGCGCAAATTGAAAGAATTTCAAGTTAATCTAGTAATTATTATAATTTTGTCTCTTTGTATATATACATAGCCTATTATCCTTATGATATTATTCTTTTTCCTCTGTATATATTCATAAGAATTTTTGGAGTATTGAAGCAATATTTACTTTAAGATGAGAAAAGAGAGTATTTACTTAAATATTTTTTAAGTGAATTTACCGAAAAGCGTGAAATAGGTTTTCAATGAATTTGTTGTAGAGTTTTCACAACTTAAAAATCCCGTCTAGTGCTGAACAACGTGAAAATGTAGATTCCTAGTCTTCAAGATTTGAGTTCATTCAGTCAATCAGTCAATCAGTCAATCACTTGTATACCAAATACCTCAAATGAATTCATCTAGATAAACAGCTGACATATATTTAGATATATCTTTCTTGGCTTAAGTAACGGCATATCTTTGGGTGTACGCATACTTCCCAACACAACTGTGTGTCCATAAAAAAATTATATAAAATATGCATATACATATGTCAGAAATAATCAGTATGACTGTGAACATATGTAAATGAATTGTTCACTTCCATTGCACACATTACAAATATAAGCACAATATGCAGTTGGCTCTGATAAGACCTGAACATCAACTATATATATATATGTATATATAGAGCAAGTAAACTGTAGGGAACAACAAGGCTTGCAACGCCCCTTGTTAAGTACATATGTATGTATCTAAAAAGTATGTTTATTTATCTGAAAGTTTTGTCGAGTTCTTTCCATGACAAATGTCTCTTAAAGAGCTGGAACAAAGACTTCCAGCTGTGGGCTCATCTCAGCTCTTTGCTCTGACAAGGTAACATGTCTGAGGCACCGGCTGGGATGGGATGGGATTGACTTCTATGAGTCATATTGCTAGCAATAAATAGTGGGTGGTCAGTGAGTCATGTCAGCTGTTCGGGCGGCGACCTTGATGACCGCATGCGCAGGCATTTGTCAACACTCACACCTACATAAATCAAGGACCAAGCCAAAGGTAATGCATACGTCCTTTGAGGCTGACCTTGCCCCTGGCCATGCCTACTACCTGCAGCTCGTGTAGTCATCAATCGACAATTTCCACACACCCTTTTTCCCAGGAATCGAGGTGCCAGTTGAGGTTAGGAGTTTCACTCTTGGGATTGTTAACTGAGTGAATTTCGGTACAATGCCAGCTCTCAAGGTCCAAGGTCCATTCTTCTGAAAACAAAACAGAAGGTGTCGGGAGCTGGTCAGTTGGGATCGTTCCGCTTAAGAGAGCTGAATGAATTTCGTAAGTAATTACTAACTAGTTTATGTAGGTGTTGGAAAACGTTTGAAATTTGCTGAATTCTAGCTTTTAATTGCAGTAAGTTGACAAGTTTCGTTTAGGCTGAAATTGAGGTTATGTGCGTAGCATGGGTAAACAAAATGGCGGCTGCTCGCAATGGAATATTGCCTCATTGAGGTTAGGTTTAGCACGCGCGTCCTTAAGAAGTAATTGATCAATTGAAAGAATTAGTTAACGCTACAATTGTCCCAATATGTGCAAAAGGTCTGCCAGAAAGTTGTCAGCCTTAGGCAAGCTTCGGAATTGAGGTTAGGTTCAGTTATGGCTAGGATTCGCCATGAAATTTTGAAGTAAACTTTGGAGTTTAGCAAAAGCAAAAGCGTTGCTCAGTTTAACATTGTAAGCCCAGAAAGTTGGCTAGCGCGTCTGACCTAAAAAGAATCCATACAAATTGTGAAATTGAGGTTAGGTTGTTCCTTTTTTTTTTTAATTCTCTTTGCGCTTGGAACAAAGTTTGATCTTTCAAGTCGTTCAGTTATGCAAACAGATGCATAATAAGAGTCTAAGTCTAGCTCTGTGGATAAACATGCTGGATGCCTAATTCCCGGAAGTGCAGGATCTAGCTTCAAGTGTGCCCAGCGCAACTTTGTGTTCTATTTATTTGATTCTTCTTTCTTCGGATGGGTTTGACATATTTTTGGTTCTTGTTGCCGTTGTTGTTGTCTGCGCGTGTTTGCTGTGCTTTTTGCCATTTCCGCTTGTCAAACATTTGTCGGCTTTTAGCTTATTGCCAACTCTGTGTGTGTGTGTGAGTGTGTGTGTGTGTGTGTGAGTGTGTGTGTGTGTGAGTGTGTGTGAGTGTTGTGATTGCGAAACAAGCCTACACGGCGCTGCCAAGTTGTATTGGTTGGACTCGCACTCGCATCTGTTCGCCTGTCCGTCTGTTCGCCTGTCCGTCTGTTCGCCTGTTCGCCTGTTCGCCTGTCCGCCTGTCCGTCTCTATAAGTATTCGCACGTTATGTCTGCCAGTCAGTCTCTCCGTCTCTCTGTCGGTCTGTCTCTCTGTCGGTCTCTGTCCACACGGCGTTTTGATCATGACTCGCACTCGTTGTTTTTCGCGCATTTCATCGCATATTTACGTAGGCCATTCGAACCAAGTGTTAACGCCTTTATTTATTGACTTATTTGTTTAGACTATATCGAGTGTGTGTGTGCGTGTGTGTGCGTGTGTGTGCGTGTGTAACGCTCAATGACATTAGGCAAATAAAACTCCATTTACCGTTTTCCATTTACATTTCTGATGATGTCACACAATACCTTTGCATGCTTCAACATTTCAATAGTACACAAATAGATACATACATACATATATTCAAATATTCTGTATTTTCTTAATTTTCTTCTTTTGTTTACCTTCAGACGGGCTCTTCTACAAAAGCAGAAACGTTCTTCAGACGCGCAACATCCGTTCGGTAAGTCTTAAGCTATTCGAAGTTAAGATTAAAGAGGCTGCTCAGTTTGAGGTTAGGTTCATTCAAGCGAATCAAAATAGAATAGAAAAGGAGTTTGATTAGATGTCTATATGTATGTACTTGATGAAATTACCCGTCGTTGCTCAGCCCAAATATATATATTAGTTTTTTACAATTTCCATTCGAAGTTAAGATTAAAGAGGCTGCTCAGTTTGAGGTTAGGTTCATTCAAGGCTAACTAAACGCAAAATGAAAACAAAAGAAAAACGAATCAAAATAGAATAGAAAAGGAGTTTGATTAGATGTATATATGTATGCACTTGATGAAATTACCCGGCGTTGCACAGCTCAAATATATATATATTAATTTTTTACAATTTCTTTGAAAACATAAAAAAAGTATTTCTCTAAGAACAAAGTTTTCAATATAATAAAAATTCCGACTCATTTGCACTGCCCGGAACAGAAAGATGTAACTTTGCAAACATTGATGACAAAAGCTGTGAAACCTTTAACGCACAGATCAAGAATAATGCATAGAATTAATTAAAGTAGCCTCTACCAGGTTAGAAAGAGTTTGGTTTTTGTGTCATGTTTCTAGCCATATTCCATTAAAACTTCTTTGAATTGTCTACAAAGGAGCTATACAACTTTGATGTACATAGAAGCTACTATATAATCGATAAGAAAAAAAAAACTTCTTCTTATTATTATTTACTATTCATGTGTATCTACATTCGGCATTAGAATGTTTTCACTTTCCGGTTCAGTACAAAGTAAAAGTAAGAGGCTATGCGTAATGTTTGCAATTAACCATTGACAATACTTTTGCCCCAAACGATCCATGGTAGAATGAACCATTCAGAACTGGCTTATCGAGCGCTACGTGACGCCCTCTCGCTGCCCCAAAGAACACCAAATACAATGCACACACACACACACGCACACACATATTTATATAGCAACCGCCACCGAACTAATCATACTTTCCGCAAAAGTCGGTCTGAATCACAAACAGCCCGCCTCTAAGGCGTCCGATATCTGTGAATATGCGAATATCAAAATTGAAATACAAAATGTTTCGTCATTTTCCGCATCGAGCAGATGTCCGCCAATATATATATATATATATATATATGGACATATCATGTCGTAGGTCAAGAATTCGAAACGCTTTATGGGCTGTTTGCCAAAAAGTAAATGAAACAAATTAATGAAATACAACAAAAATATGACGCACAGTTTGTCGCTTAATTTTGATTGCATTTTCGTTGATTGGGTTTTCGGTTACACTTTTGCATCGTAATACTCTGCCCGAGGGTATACCAGCTGATCGATGTAATGTGTAACACATATAAGAAAATATATTCAATTTATAAATTGGTTTTTTGAGCATAGCTCGTAGATTATAAGAGCTAGCTTCAATCAATTTTGGTATGCAGATAGATTCGAGTGTAGTGAACACAATTCTAGAATATTTCTCTTTTTGGATAACTTCCTCATAGGCCTAGAACTGGAACTGGAACTTATCTCAAAGATGTAGCCCTGCGCATTGGAATTTATACATATTTTTATGCCATATTTAGATCCTGAAAATTTCATTAAGATCGCACCAAAAACATCGGAGTTCCGCAAGGAAGAGCCTATGAGCTCTCAAAGCGCTTGTAACTATAGCCAGAGCATCTCCTAGTCGTGCACTTGCGACTCGAACACTCTTACTTCTTTTATTTTGTTTTATTTTTGGTTTTTCGGTTTCGTTTTTCAATCGGTTTCGATTACGTTTTTGTTTTCCATGCATATTCCCACTCAGCCGCTTGTCATATCGAGCTAGCACCAAAAACGATAGAAAAAACTAAAGACAAATTGGTCAAACGTGGTAGAAATTAATTCATAGATACAAACTGACGCTAAAGGTGGGCAGCGACGACAATCAACGACGATCCCAAGCGGGATTCCAAGCGGCATCCAATCGATCGATCCAATCGAACCGAATCGAACCGAACCGAACCGAACGATTGCCCAATCGGCCGGGAAACGATTTGTTGTCGTTTGTCATTAATCGTCCGACGATGTATTTCTGGCCATATTTCAATATTTATTAATATCTATTGCGCGATTCGACAGCTCGACGTCAGCTTCGACATGTTGCCCATTTATTCGATTGTCGATCCAAAAGTGCCCGTGTGTGCCCGTGTGTGTGTGTGTGTGTGTGTGTGTGTGTGTGTGTGTGGGTCAAGTGATTGCCCAAGGGTTGAAACAGGGTTTGAATGTTCCATGACATTACAGATTTTCCAAAAAAAAAACCTTTCTAATATTTCCATTGAAGTTGAGTTCTTGGTTCTATGTATTTGCTTAAAGCAGTTCCCAGGATAATAGACGAAAGATAGAGGGAGAGCGGGAGAGAGAGAGAGCGGGAGAGAGAGAGAGAGAGAAGATTGGTTGATCAGTTAACCCTATTGCTTTTTAATATATTGATTGATTTATGCCATAGAAAGAACTGAAAGAAGCTGATCTTCGTTTACAGCCAGTTTTAGAAAAGATCAATTGACTTATTGGAAGAGGAATTTTAGACCAAGTTATACAATATCGAAGAGGATCGGCATGATATTGATTGCTTAATTGCGATCACTTAAAAGACGAAAATAAAAGTAATCGAAAAAAATCTGATCTTCAGCAGATCTTTTTTTGATCATCATTTCATAGCTCTGCTTCAACTGAAGTAAAAGTCTCTTCTGAGACTGGACTCTAAAAGCTGTGCATTATTTATATCGATCACTTCTTTTCTATAACTACAAATATCTGTCTGAGCTATAGAAAGATCGGTTGACCTATTGGCGAAAGCAATTCAGCTATAGTTATACAATCTGAGAGGATCCTACAAATCTTGATCAGCCCACAATGAAGAGAAAAAAATAAAAGTAGCCGAGCTGATCTTTAGCAGATCTTTTTTAGATCGTCATGTCATACTTCTGCCTGTTATCACGATCGCTTCATCTGCTGTGGAAGGACTGTCTCTTCTGAGAATGGACTCTAAAAGCTGTGCATTATTTATATCGATCACTTCTTTTCTATAACTACAAAAAGCTGTCTGAGCTAAAGAAAGATCGGTTGACCTATTGGCGAAAGCAATTCAGCTATAGTTATACAATCTGAGAGGATCCTACAAACCTTGATCAGCCCACAATGAAGAGAAGAAAATAAAAGTAACCGAGCTGATCTTTAGCAGATCTTTTTTTGATCATCATTTCATACTTCTGCCTGTTATCACGATCGCTTCATCTGCTGTGGAAGGACTGTCTCTTCTGAGAATGGACCCCAAAAGTCGGTGCATTATTTACAGATCATCTCATATAACGCTTTGTTGTATCGATCACTTGATCTGCTGTGGCAGGCGTTGCTTGGAGCTTTGGATGAGCAGTAAAAAGGCGTACCTTATGAGGGCTGGCAGCTGCCACTTAATGTGTTGCCACGTATCTTTTCTTTTATTTCATTGTTGGTCGGCGCGATCGGGGGCAATGTCAGCCAGCCGCCGTCTGTCTCCAACTTTAGCGGCGATGCGATCATTTGCCGGATTCCCAGCACATTGTAAATTTAGTTGCCCCCGGCTGGCTGGGTAGGGGGCGTGTATTGTGGTCATAAGCCCGCATTGTTGTTGCCATTTTATTTGTTTATTAATTGCTCACAGATCGCAGATCGCAGATCGCATGTTGCCCCGTGCAGCTTGATGGATGTTCATAATATGTGGGCTGTGGGTGAAATAAAATCATTTGAAGCCGCTGCCATTCCACAGACAATGGCCATATGACAATGTAATGCCAAAAGTTTCACTTCACAGTGAAACGGCAGCTGTTTTTTATTATTATTATTACAATTTTTATGTTTTTTTTTTGTTTTTCTGTCTGAGATCGAATCAATGTTCGAGCTGATCTTGCTTGCTGAGTCTGGCACAAATGCGACTTGGACTTTGTTTTAACTAAATTTGTATAATCTTTTAATTGTATGATCCGGCCGAGCTTTAACGATTCACTGACTGTGCTTGTAAGAGATCGTGTCGAGATCTGTCTTTAACTTTTCTGCTGATCTACTGACTAATCGTGCCTCTTTAAGTGATCCATAGACAGATCGTGGGAGAAATATGGCCTTGGCTCTAATTTTCTTCAGTGATCTACTGACTGATCCTGCAAGCGATCTCAAAGCTGGCCTAGTCTTTAATTTCTTCAATGATCTCAAGACTGATCTTGCAAGCGATCTCAAAGCTGGCCTAGTCTTTAATTTCTTCAATGATCTCAAGACTGATCTTCACAGAGATCTCAAATCTGGCCTGGGCTCTAACTTCTTTAGTAATCTACTGACTGATCCTGCAAGCGATCTCAAATCTGGCCTAGTCTTTAATTTCTTCAATGATCTCAAGACTGATCTTGTCCCTTTACTGACTGATCTTAACAGAGATCTCAAAGCAGGTTCAGGTTCTGATTTCTTCAGCGATCTATTTAGCGATCTATTTGTCAGAGATCCTGGCCATATCATATCTGGCCTAGGTTGAAACGTCTTCAGCGAACTGCTTACTGATCTTGCTGGAGATCTTCATTGTCTCAGATCTAGCTCTTAATTCTATCGTGATCTACCGACTGATCTTGCTCTACTCTTCATTATCCCAGATCTAGCTCTAACTTCATTAGTGATCCACTGACTGATCTCTGATCAGACATCTGGCGATCTGATTTGGCTAATCTCCCAAATCTGGCCTATTTGTTAGCTTGCTCAAAGATCTTCTAGCTTAGATCTGGCCAATTCTCTTGCTGTTCCCATTAGGCTAATCTCTCAAAAATTGAGCCACTTGCTCAACGCATATTGTAATTGGCTCGCCGCGGTTTCGAGTACCTGCGGCTGCCACAATTATCGAATTAACACTGTGCGGCTCATTTAAGCCGCTCGATTGGTGGGCGGGGCGGCGGTTGTGCGATTAAATGCCGTGCCACGATTGTCGCCTATTAACAAAA